AAAGTAAAAAAATTTCAAACAAAAATTTGACGCTGTTGGGTAAATATAAATTAAGTAATTAACACATTTGGTCACCAATCTTTTGGTTCGTCTCCATCGAACTTCCTCTTGCCTTTCCTATAATATAAAGCTATACAAGTATCCCAAATATTATGCAGAAAAAAGGCTCACGAATCTTCACGCCACAGCCATGGCTTCTCTCGCCACCCGACTGGTGTTGCAATGCGTGTTTGTTTCCGTTCTTTGGATCGGATTCTGTTGCATCAAGGGAGTCAACGCCGGTGGCAATCTCGGAGAAATATTTGGAGAATTGTGCGATAAACAGAGGGAGTTTGATTACTTCATGCTGTCCCTCCAATGGCCGGGCACCGCCTGCCGTGCAACTCGCCATTGTTGCTCCTCCAATGCCTGTTGTCGCGGGTAATAAACAAATAATTCTCTCTTTGATAAATTCTGCTTTTTTCTTCTTCCAATTTTTGTTCATCTCCTGACCCTGTGATTGTTTGAGGTTGTTGATTATTTGATAGTTAGTTCATTATTCTTGCTTCATTGTAAGTGTTTTAGATATGTTGTCAATGTTTCAATGGCACCTGGGCTTGACCCTGCAAAGAACCTGAATTTACACCATGTATGGTCTCTCATAGTTAAATTCAATTGAGCTATGTCAAAATGCTGCTACTATTATTAGATGCTTCAGTACGGATTCTTATAAGGGGGAAGTGTCTACCATAGTTCTATGTTGTGAATTAAGTTGAACATTTTTGGCTCTTTGAATTCATAGGCACTGGCTTGAAAAGGAAACTAGGTGTTAAGTTGATTTTTTATATATGATAATATTGGATATCTCTGGTAAACAATATACTCACATAATATTCTGTGGGCTATGATTATGCAAACATAAGAACAGCTCTATTCTCGGTATAGTGTTGCGAGTTATTTATCTTGTTATGGAATACTGATCATCTCATCCCTTATAAATTGTTATTAATCTGTGTGAATTTTTCGTCAGAAATGGCTAGTATTCTTTCAAAACCTCTGGTGTGTAAATGATANCAAGAAAATGCATTCCTTTCTCAATTTTCATGTGTTTTGGAGTTATACGTCACTTCATGTTACTTTTATCATTCCTGAAATTTGGTAGACATTTACCTTTTTTATTTTTTGTAATTTGTTCCAGTTTGGATGCACCGAGAGAGTTCACAATCCGTAAGTCACACTGTGTTACATTCTTAAACATAACTAAAATACAGCTCTAATGTAATCTTTTCAGTATTTGAGATTTTATATCATGAATGTATTCTTTTGTTTGTTCTTGTTGTATGTGCATGAATGAAGCAGCACTACCAAATATAGACAGTTAATTTTGAGATAAATTTTTCTATCTGTTCCATGCCATTTGCGATATCCGTGCTGTGTTTCCTTCTGTGCAGATGGACTTTGGCCTGATTATAATGATGGAACTTGGCCAGCCTGCTGCTCTGGGAAAAGATTTGATGTTAAAGAGGTACTGTTTTGCAGTTTTTATAACAGCTCTGCATAGTTCCTTATGTAAACAGGGACCATGTGTTGTTGGTGCCTTTTTCGGTTGTGCTAAGTTTTTGGTGTGTTGAGGTTCCCTAAATATTAATGATCCCATATGGAGAGAAGCTACTTATGGGTGACATCTGAACACTGTTGCAAGGATTCAGCTTCAACCAAGCAGCAAGAGGCCCAGGAAGCTCATATTGTCCCCAAGAACAAAAATAGCGAAAGCTTCCTTTTTGCATGGCTCTTTTAGTCACCATTTGGCTCTATTTAGTTTTACGCTTGACATACGTTGATAACTAAGGCTAACATGTGATATTGATATTTGATCCTCTTGGCTCAAGATCAGTATTTGTCTACTACACTTCTCCATTTCCTATTATATTATATTTATAGGTTTATTATAATTCAAATTCATTGATATGTATTGCATGTATTAGTTGTAAGCAATTCATTCTCTTAGACGAAGGATTTTCAGAAATGAAACCGTGCCTTTTTTAATGAATATTTTATTAATCATTGCAGATTTCAACTTTGCTCGAGGACTTGAACAGGTATTGGCCATCATTAAGCTGTGATTTTCCATCAAACTGCCATGGTGGAAAGGGATTATTCTGGGAACATGAGGTTCGTTAATCGACTGTTGGACTTTCCTTTACAGCGGCCACGCATGTGCATGAAATTAATAGTTTTCCCTTTGTTTCTTTCATGTTATGATTGGGACTCATCTCGAGGCAGTGGGGTAAGTATTGAAACTCCTTAATTCTCCTTTGTTTTGTAATGTTCATTTGTGGTTTTGAGTTTTCTTGAAGCTGGGGTAACTGAATGTGTTGAGTTTTCCTATAGCAGTGCGCCTAGTTGCACAAGTTACTAAAAAGGCTCCTGACATTTTTTTCAAGATGAAACTAACAAAACTGTTAAAAATGTGTTAAAACCTTCGTCCTAGGTTTAACTTTTTTCTTGTCCATACCATGCTCTCATTTGATTGTTGAAGGCTTTCTAAAGCTTTATCTTTGACTCTCAAGCATCAGTGCACAAAATAGATTTACCTATTTTTGACCTTTCATCTTTTGAGGTGTCACATCTCAAGAAGTAATTTGTTGCAGTCTATTAAGACGGGTTTGAACTTATTTCCTTTGTTCTATTTGTTTTCCATCTGTTTTCCAGAAAAACATGGACCTTGTTCATCTCCAGTCCCGTAACTTGTTGCACTCTATTTAGATGGGTTTGAACTTATTCCCTCTGTTCTATTTAATTTTCCATCTGTTTTCCAGAGAAACATGGACCTTGTTCATTTCCAGTCGTACGGGATGAGTATGACTACTTTGTGAAAGTACTTGATCTGTATTTCAAACATAATGTCACGGTAAGATTATGTTATTCATTGACATTTGCCTCTAGCAGATTAGGCTTCTAAAGGATTTTGATTATATTTATCGTGCCTTGTATTTCCGAACATATGTTCGTGGTTCTCCAAGTCTCTAGCAGATTCTATTCTTCTAAAAGTATTTCCAATGATAATGAGCTTCAATATTTATGCACTATTGGTATATAAATTTCATTTATAAACAATTGTTGGTCCTTTACTTTTTGTCTTGTCGTGTGTATCTTCATCATACAGGAAGTCTTGAGACAAGCTGGTTTTGTGGCATCAAATTCTGAAAAGTATCCACTGGGAGGCATTATTTCAGTTATTCAAAATGCTTTCCATGCCACTCCAGAACTTGAATGCTCAGGTGATGCTGTTGAGGAACTCCGATTGTGCTTCTACAAGGATTTCGAGGTAAGAACTTTCTGATTTCATATTCATATTCAATTTATAAATTCCTTTTCAGGGTTATAAAATTATAACCGACATTTGTACGTGAGCAGCCGTTATACAACCTTCTTTTATTTCATCATATTCTTTAATATTGTCAACATCATCTTGAAATTTTATAACTATCTTGCAAACTCTATATCGAGTTTTCGCTCTTATCAGCTCCCATAAGCCATGATCAACTGATAACTCTTGTTGCAGTTCATTGCCTAATGCACCGACTTCTTTAAAATAATGACTTCCATGATTTTTTTTATTATTATTATTTTTATTATTATTATTATTATTATTATTATTATTATTANATACTTTTAAATCTCCTCTGACGATTCTTTCTTCAATTCAAGCATTTGTTCCACTAGAAATATTCTTGTTATTGCTTCTATGATTTTGATGCTCCATTTTGCTTGTTTCTCCACATAAAATACCATCTTTCTGACAATGAGATAATTTTGCAGCCTCGGGATTGTGGAGTTACCAGCACCGAACATCGCGTGACTAATTCAGACACATCATGCCCCAAATATGTCAGCTTGCCAGGTTTGTCGTTTCAAGTGATCAAATTTTCTCCAGTTCACTATTATCGTTCAACACTATTTCATATAATACATGATGAATGAAAACTGCCAACCCATGAGATTTCTTTTACTGCTTTTGGTTTCTGGAAATCAATACTCCTTTTTCTTCAACATTATTTAAATATTCACAATGACGATAAGTCGGCCATATTTTTAAAGATTCCTAGCATTTCTTGACATTGCATTGTCTTCTAATATGGTTTGGCATATAACTATTTCCATCACAATCCGGCCAAATATATTATGTCCGATGTCATATCATTGCCTTCAGCTAGTCTCAATTATTTCACTCTTAACAAATGCAATCCCATGTTTTTGTACCTTTCACAATAATTATTCTCAGCTCAAACCATATTCATATGCTTCATATTTTCCACTTATTTGTCTCTCATTTTTTATTTTTTTTTTTTTATTTTTTTTCAGAGCTTGAGAACAATGGTGAATGGAGGGAGCTTCACAGCGTAATTTAAAACCATTCCAATGTTTTTATGATTTTTGGCTAACGTGCCTGAACATGGCTGATGATGACTGAAGCAAATCTACTTTTCTTCCCTAGTTTAGGATAGGCTGAAACAAAACCTCACGGGCATGTTCGTGTTGTAATATCATGTGCTACATGTCTTTCTGTAAACATGCTATTCTGTAAGTACCTTTCGAGCTACCCTATTATTACAAGACAGAAATTGAGACCAAAACTCCAATCGTTATGAGATTTAAGGAATGTAATTAACTAAAATATAATTGCCTAGACAAATCTCTACAACGAACTTTTGATATAATTCTTGAGCTCCACTAAAGACAGCGAGACAAACAGAGGTAGATGCAGGATGGTGGCACTCCGAAAGCTGCTGCAGGATTAAATATAACATTAATGTTCAAGACTTAAAGTATCAATTATCGAATAAATAAGGTTCAAAAGTAGTAACTAAACAATGTTGTACCTTTTGCACAAGTCTCTAAACCGAAGGAGATCCCTCTCCAGTTATCAAACATACACAGGCACAATAAATCTCTATAACCATAGGGTCCCTCTCAGGCAGGTATTATTCATTTTAGTCATTCCAGTTGGAACTTGCACATGGAAATTTATTAACAGAGGAGCTGGAATAGAGAAATCTGCAGCATCAATTTTCTTTTTCCAGAGCTCCTAAGCGGCTTCCATCAAAACTTCGTCCACAGAGAATTGAGAGTATGAAGAATACGCTTGAAGTCCGAAAATTAAGGATCAAGACACCACGCCCCACTTAACAAATGCCCACTTCAACCATGTGATAAAGCAATGCCTTGAAAGATGATCAGGCAAATCCACCTACAAAACATCATACTCAATGAGAATAATGCTATAACATCACTGATTAACCAGAATGTCTTGTGTATGATAAAAGGGATGGTTATCTGTAGATAATATAAAAGCTTACATTATAACATTGTTTTATGGGCAACTACGCCACAATTCTATGGCATTTCACAGTTGAATAGAACAAAAATGCTACAGTTGAATAGAACGGACATAACTATAAGAACAATAATAAAAAAAAAAAAAAACAGAGAGAGAGATAGCCATGAGCAACTTCATATAATAAACCATAAGAATAAATAATCTTAACCCAACAAAGGAAAATTAACAACAGTAACGATGCATCAGCCTCTCAAATCTCGCATTAAGATTCAGATAATGTAAATACTGAAAGTAAAAAATGCTGCTATACTGAAGACAAATTTGAACTTACACTACTCCATGTAGTTGAATATCCATCAGTAGAGAGCAACCAATCACCCCCCTTGGATGGCAGATCTAGCCAGTTATTTGATAAATCAAAATCACAAAACTCATCCTCATAGTTTCCAGCATGATCAGACTTTCTTTTTCTTTTCTTCTTATGCCTTTTATGCTTCTTGCATTTTCGATTAGCTGAAGACTTTCTGTCATAATCTGATCCACAATCGTCTGAAAACTCATCATCATTTACCAAAGCATACCTGTCAGACTTGCGGAAATTTATCCCATTGCTGATAAACAGAGACTCCCAGGACTCAGGGGTAAGGAGTTCCTCAGCTAGTCTAAAATGTATAGCCCATGAATGAACACCTAAAAATTTTACATATTCTAATGGATTTTTCTTTAGGCCTTGTTCCATTGCTGGGCCTAGATCATTGGCACAACTTGTAGACTCAGAAAGTTGATAGACCAAATCCTTTATCTTTTCTTTTTCTTCTTCACTGCCTTCTTCCTGCAATAGGCGCATGAGCTTGCGGCCTTGATTAGTCACCGCGTTTAGTAGAAGTAGATGATCAACAGTACCCGAACCACCGTACATTGAAAGTATAACCTCAAACCACTCAAGATTAGTTCTCGAACCAAAAATTCCGGAATTCAGTTTAACATATTTTGGTATCATATCTAGGAACTCATGCAACTCCTGCTCTTCAAGGATAATAAGAAGGTGATGGCATAAGAATGAGAAAGATTGCTCAATGAGGAAATCCTCTATGAGTTCCCATACTTCTTGAAGTTTGTCCTTATACATCAAGTCAATGAACAAATTGGAGAAGAATTTTGTATCGACTGACAAAATACTGCCATCCTTTAACGACTCGGAAAACTCGGGAGATGACCAAAATTCAGGGACGTACTCTAGAAAATTCTCGACCGTTCTTTGAACATCCAGATCAAGGAAATAATGGGGCTTAGTTGCAACCATGGCAGGTGACTGCCCATGCTTACCTTTCCACTCAAGTTCCTCCCAACAAATATCTCGGTTTATGAAAGCAAATTGAGAGAGAGCCTTGGCACCTGGACCATGTCCAGATTTTCCAGTAGCAGAGAAATTAGAGAACCATTGCAAAATGTGCCTTGGGTTTCCTGGAAGGATAAACAGCTAATTAATAAGCAGCAGCCAACTTAGAAATTGCATAAATGTAAGACCGAAAAACAGAAATTATATAATGCATAAAAGTACCACGACAAAACATGTTAATGATAATAGACCAGTAATCAACTATGCTTGACATACTAAATGTACCCTCAACGATCAACGCATCTCACATTTGCACTATTTGGTTTTTATCATGTCAATGTTTAATTCAAAGGTAAAGCCTGACGAATTTAAGTCTCGTAACAAATATAGCACAACATTATTTTATTCAGCTAACCAATATACGTAATATTATTAGAAACACTCAATATAGTTAAAATAAAATATTCCGCTCCAATGAATTCAAATGCACCAAAGGTGTTACCTAGTAAATCAAACATTTGTGATAAACGGGCAAATCCTGAATGAATTCAATACTGTTTACTACGGAAGTTTTCTTCTCCTGCTTCACGAAACAAAAGGTACCACTATTAAATCACAATGCCAGAATACCGCTCGAGTACCTACTGATCTACAAGTCATATGCGTCCCAATTGATGTATCTGTAAGTGGGTCGAGTGCTACCCATTAACCCATATCACAGGAAACCTATAATCAATTACTCATCCAACTAAAACCTGGTCAATGATCTTTCTTAAGAGAAAAAAAACTTGCCTTTGAAAAAGTTCTCCAGCTTGTGGCTTTCCTTTGCTATTATCGGCCCCACCTTCTGGGGCTGCTTCTCAAAGATCAAATACAGAAGTTGTGATGCTAAGTGCCGCTTGATTGGCTTGGATCTCAACAGGTTCACAAACAGGTCTCGTTGGCGACGGGGAGTAATGGAGCTTATGCCCGAAATAGTGTTACATAGCCAAAGCCGAGCTTCAGATCGACCTCCAGATGACAACACTGACCAGATGACTTGTTCTAATTCAAGAAGAAGAGATTTTGTCTGCTTATAAAATTCATCATCTCCATTGCTGCGTTCCCATGTTGGCTCCCTTAGAAACAACTGGAGCATTTTCTGGAGTAATCAAAATCAACCACAGCAAAAAGTTAGCACTCGTAGCTCATCCATTGATTAAATACTAATATGTCATATGTTTAACATATTAAAGTCACACACACGTGATGGAAAAGAATCCAACATCTGAAAATTTTCCCTCATGCCTATGAATCAGCTATTCTCAGCTTGGAGCTAAGTGATTGAACTGTGATTGATATTCAACAGAAATTACAAACCACAAGAACCCGTAGCATATACTTAATCTTGATCTGCAAGCAAATATACAACATAAATACCGATATCTGTAGAACAGAATCTTATATAATAAACCAGACGCTCAACCTTAATCGTCCCATAGTCCAGAAAGCAAATAAAAAACATAAATAGCAGCAATTAACATCAATTGAACTTACAGGTTAAGGCTTAATCCCACCCCAAACACATTTATGGAAAAAATTCTAAACATAACACGCAAGCAAGCGATTCAAAAGGGTATGTTTATATCCAACGATAATGAAGTAAACGAAATCAGCAAGTTGCAATCACCTTCATCTTCAAATCCTGGAAATTTAGAGATGAAATTAGTTTAGGAGTAGCGCATCTTCACTTTGAATCCTAGACGTTTTAGATCCTTATAAAAATTGAGGAGTAATCGACTAAGAATAATGGGCCCGTCACTTGAGTACCCAACCCGGCCTACCCCAGGCAGTCGATGCTGTGTAACTAATTGGAAGGTTATTGTGCATCTCAACTTTTCGAACCAAAACAAAACTCATTTGTGTTCGATAACAACTTGTTAGTTTAGTAATCGATCCAAAATCAAACGTGAAATTATTTGTTAAGTTAGAACAAGTTCGCAAAATATTCAAGCGTTCATTCGCGAATAAGTAAGTATTTTATAATTTTATATATGTTATGAAATAATAAAATAATGTATATGAATGACTATTTTGCCCTCGATGTATTTGTATTATTACAAATTGTGTCATCAGGAGTTTCCTATAAATAGGAGCTTCAGTTATAATGAAAAACACACCTAAGAGAATACATTTTCTCTAATCTCTCTCTTTCTCTCTAGTTTTATAACACGTTATCAGCACGAGTCTCTACCCTCTAGAACTCGATTTGTAGTATGACGAGAGTATGCTCTACAGTTGCGTCTTGTAGACGATCCTCTGTATCAGAAATCGAATTATTACAAAACCATTATTTTCTCCAACCAATTTGAAGCCATAAACTATTAATTTTCACTTTCTATCATTAGTCATTAGCCACCCAAAAACAACATGAAATGATAAAATGCTCTCACCTTTAGAAACCCCAATATCAACTACAAAATATAGAAATATGAGTTTGTCATGACACTCTACTTTCCTCAAAACTCCATAAAGCTTATTTGTAATTGGCCAAATCTCATTCAAGTTCGCCAAGTAGCGATGATCCGAGCCTTACGCGTGGCGCAACAGCACGTAGCCCCGCAAAACCGAACTTTCTTGGATCCGAAATTGATGACATGGTGGAAAAACAAGTTGACAGACAGTGGTCTTGGGAGATTTGAGGATTATGAATGCCTGGCCATGTTTATAGAATGAATCTGAAAAGAAAAGAAAAAAAAAAAAAAAAAAAAAATGGTGGAGAGAATGTGACGTGAAGGGGATAAGGTTTGAGTAGATGATATTGAAGAAAGTAATTTATATTGAGGAATGGGCCAAATAAGTCAGAAGTCAAGTTGGACTGCAACAGGTATGCAATTGCTTTTGTATTTCCACACTCTTTTGCCAAATATAAAATAATGAGAAAATCAATATAATACTCCAATTATTCATTGAGCTTCAAATAGTTTTTTCTCGAATACAAAAGCATACATTATCAAAATTAGAAATTTACAAATTCATAATATTTCATTTAAATAGAGCTTCGATTTAAGACCAATATTGATATGATTTATTGAATTATATTAATATATATTGTCATTATGAACTGTTGATTTTCTTCTATTAAGAAAATTCTTTAGTACATGAACGTGCGAATATTTATGGATTGACCCTTGTGATATGAAAAGAAATATGTGTGGCTATATGGATCAGCCAGTGCGGCTCTGCCGCCGGCAAGTAATATTTAATGGTAACCAATGGGTCAATTATTGATCAAAAATATTATAAAGAAATATGACCGATCATATGAAATGGCCAAGTGTTGCAGCCACCAGCAACAGATAATATTGAACGGCTAAATGGATCAGTCAGTATATTAATGATAACCGGTGATATAGAATGGCCAGGTGGCAACGCCACGTGCAACAAATGAATGGCTATACATATACATGGGTCGGACAGTGCGGCACTGCCGCCGGCGATGGGCAGTACAAATTAAGTGATAGCCAATGAGTGAATTAATGATACTTTGTATCTGACCATGTGAAAGTTAATTAAAGTCCTTGTCATGAACAGACATTATATGGACTAACATGGTCCTGAAGTCTCAGTTGATAAATTCTCCAAATTTATGGAGATATGAATATTGATGAGATGGTACTATAAGTTACCACATGATTAATGTGATGTCGGAAGTTATGGCATAATGATTAAATGATATCATGGTATAGTAGTACTGGATGCTACCACTTTATGATTAAACAAAGTGATGAAATGGTACTAGAAACTACCATTGGATGATTGAACAAAATGAGAAAGTGGTATCAAAAGCTACCAGCTATGGGTGATCACACAAAAATGATTTCTCAATATATTATATAAGTCTAAGGGGCTATATCAGATGACGAGATCACATTGGATACGAGATCATACAGATATTACAATAAAGTGCTCCGGAAGAAGCACAAATAATAATGATTGTAGTCATGAACTACTATACACTGAGAAAAATCGAAATTGATATTATTATTACTGAGAAACAAGTACAAAATGTTCAGATGGTGGAAATATGGAAAAGAGGCAGTAAATACTCGATGAATACAAAATACGCAAAGATTACATAATAGAACCCATAAAAGAAGGGTGCGTCTCGAGAGTGTAAAACTCCGTAACTCTGCCACCCATGAATGATATCTGGGTTCATATTTGAATAATATCTGGGTTCATAATGAGAGATCTAAAGGATCAAAAGCTCTTTTTCGCTTGACCCCTTGTGTTTCCACAGAATCTTGAAATGTGATGCATTCTTGAAGCTTTTTGATAAGTTCAGCAGACGTGTCAGCAGATTTGAATACTTCTCTCATTGAAAGAGATATAAAGGTTTGATATACTCCTATGTCTAAAAATCCAAGCAAACCATGAAAGAAGTTATTAAAGTTCAATAGACCTATGGGCTTGTTATGAAGTTTCAATTCTGCCCATAAAGCAATGGTGAACATTGTCATTAGCGCCTGGAAGAATGATAAAAGCATCGCTATTGTTCACCATATCCATCATACAATCATGAATGGAATGAGTTAACATCATGCTTGTGGAATCCTTGACGACCTTTGTTGAAGCTCTACGAAAAGGTATGATACTTTTCACTTCTATCTCAAAACATTGTCCAGCCATTAAGAGACTATCATAGAAAGTATTGCTAGTCCCTCCATACAGCAAATTGATTTTTAGATTCCCCATCTCTTTGACTAACTGACTTACAATATCAATAGTTTGAGAAAAACTTACCAGTTTAGAACCACCAAGAACACATATGGTTTTGATCGGTTGAAGAAAATTATTACCTTGCGAAGACTCTGAAACATCCATCTATTTATTGATAAACTGAATTTTTCAAAACTTTGTGAGGCATATGATTATGATGAACGACTCGCTATTTAAATAGAAAGTTTTACAAAGCAATAAATAATTTTACTGTTTTCTTCTGACAATTGCAACTGACAGATAAGGTGTTGGGTTTTAAATAAATCTTATCTGTCGGCAACTATAAGTTTTTCTAGAAAATTACAGTACAACATACTAAACTGTATTAGTATGATTTTTCGTACTAACAAGACCAGTTTTACAAACTTGATCTTTTAAAATAATATTTTTGAGACAATAACGTTCTTCTTCATTTTTGAACTGAATCCATAAAGACATAAGCTCACGATGCACGTATCCACTAGGATGTGTCTCAAGAATCTGTTGAATCGTTTGATCCAAAGACTCCTTACTCAATCCATCCTTTATAAACGTTATTTTATCTTCTCGATTTTGGACACGTACCCCACAGATTTACATCGTGTGTCACAAGTCCATCGAGCGCATTTGAAGCATCCACCTAATCTTTTTGCTCTTCGTTTCTTTGCAAAAGTACTTTTACCCATACCTGGCATATATTTATATGAATAAGGAAACTCTCCAGACAATCGAACTTGTGCTTCGATCAACCATCGAACATCATTTGAAATACCATTATTCATTAGCATCCTCAATCTTTCTAATCGAGATCGATAAATTTTTTTTATGATATTTTTCGGAAGAAAAGAATAATATTTACGGATATTTGAGAGTGCTAAATCCATTTGTAAATTCGGACCTTTGTTAAAGAAAATTGATTGAATTACCTGATAATTTATAGAAAAACATGATGCGTATGCGATACAACTCTGGGCTTAAACAGTGTTCAAAAGTATGTGTGTCAGACGGCATGACACAATTCTGGATTTAAACAGTGGCTAAAAGACATTTTGCCAGAGCACACACTTAAAGTGCATTTATTGCCGCCGAAAGATGATGTGAAATGTTTGTGATAAACGTGTCACAACGAATTATTGTGATCATTTTAAAAATGTTTGCCGATATTATTGATGATGGTTTACATGATGAACTTATTCTTTGTTATATGAGATGTTTGTTCTCGATTGGTGAAAAATATTACTAGCTAAATATTTGTGAATCGATATTTGATCAATCTGAGTATAAAAGGGGTATGATATATATGGGCCCACTACCCCTCCATGTGTGCTACTAGATATTATGGATCCACTAGATAGCCACATGTGTGTGATTCGTAACCTGAAGTTACGAGATGATTTG